TTCTCTCTCTCTCCATTCTCTCTTCTCTCTCCTCCACTCTCTCTTCTCTCTCTCTGTCTCCCTCCTCTTTCTCTCTCTTCTCTCCTCTTTCTCTTTTCTCTCTCTTTCTCTCCTTTCTCTTCTCTCTCTCTTCTCTCTCTCTCTCTCTCTCCTTTCTCTCTTCTCTCTCTTCCTCTCTCTCTTTCTCTCTCCTCTTTCTCTCATCTCTCTCTCCCTCCTCTTTCTCTCTCCTCTCTCTCTCTCCTCTTTCTCTCTTCTCTTTCTCTCTCCTCTCCTCTTTCTCTTCTCCCTCTCTTTCTCTCTCCTCTTTCTCTCCTCTCTCTCTCTGTGTGTGTGTGTGTGTGTGTGTGTGTGTGTGTAAGAGGCCTGCACAATTTGGGACTGAACCTGCCACCAAGGAAAATATAACAGTACCCCAATGTCAGGCACAAACAACAGAGCCACTCACAAATAACGGAAGTGAACAACTCTATTGATTTCTACCGATATAATAAGAATCCCCCTAGATGGTTTGCCTTCCCCCAGGAATTACCCGATAGGCTTGGTGGTTCTTGAAGGAGGTCAAGTTTATGCCACTTGCAGCTGTGCAAGGATTTTAAGCTAAGTCCTTACTTGAGTCTTCCTTCTAGCCTACATGGCAGTTTCCTGACATCTCTGTATTGTTGTCTGCACTGTAAGCTTAACAAAATCAAGAAAATAATTGCTTCTCTGGTTGAGTTTGTTCAATGTGGTGGTCACAATCTTTGCAGGCTTTGAGTCGTCCTTTGACGACCATTTGAAGTCATGATGGACCTACCTAGAAGCTACTTAGGACAGTGTTCCAAAGTTCAGACAGTCCTTGCGTAGCCGCAAGTGGCATAAACTTGACCTTCCTCAAGAATCACAAAACCTATCTGGTCATTCCTAAGGGAAGGCAAGCAGTCTGGGGGAATTCTTGTTAGGTAGGTAGAAATCAATAGAGTTGTTTAATTAGCTTAATGCCTGTGGTCCTCAATGTCAGATTAGGTTTGCGCAATATTAACTTAAAATGGGATGGAGTGATTTGCAGCTGAGTTTTATTGTGTGAATCTGGCCATTGTTTGAGCCTGTTGTTAAACCCTAATGTGGGCATCATTTTCTGAAGTGAACACACAATTGGGGTTTGCTAAATTGGATTTAAGATTTAGCTTGGTAGGTGAGTTCAGCCACTGTAGATTTCACAGACTTAGCTTTCATTTGCCTTTTTTTTTTAAAAAAATTATCCCCTTAATTTCTTGATTTTTTTTTGTCAGGCATCTCACTAAAAATGAGAAGGTGTGTGTGTGTGGCAGTACTTTTTCTGACTAGCAAACTTTATTAATAGGCACAAAGTTTTGGGAACCACAATTTATTCTTTTTTTAATTAAAGTTATTAATTTGCTTTTTTACCTCTTTGGATGACCTCATATTTCTTTCTATAAAGTCTCGCCTCACTAACAATATCTAGAGAACTTGAAAGTCCGTGTGCTTCTTCCTATACAATCTTAAATGGAAGCTAGTTTGGTGTAGTGATTAAGGTGCTGACTTATAAACTAGGAGACTGTGAATTCTAGTACCTCTTTAGGCATGAAAGCCGGCTGGATGACTTTGAGCCAATTACCTGGAAATTGAGAGTTCTAGCCCCTGCCTTAGTCTTGAAATCCAGTTATGTGGCTTTGAGCCAATCACCAGGAGGTGGTGCGTTCTAGTCCTGCCTTAGGCCTGAAAGCCAATTGGGTGATTTTGGGCCAATCACCAGGAGATGGTGAGTTCTAGCCCCACCTTAAACTTGGAATCCAGTTGCGGGGCTTTGAGCCAGTCCCTCTCTCATCCCAACCCACCTCACAGATCAAACAGATAATCAGAGTTGGAAGGGACCTTTTAGGTCATCTAGTCCAACCCCCCACCCAAGCAGGAGACCCTACACCATTTCTGACAAATGGCAGTCAAATCTCTTCTTGAAAGTCTCAAGTGATGACGCACCCACAACTTCCGATGGCAAGGTGCACAACAACGGGATTGTTGTTGTGCAGAAAATAGACGAAGCAAGGAGTTTTACACATGTTTACCACCCTTGAGTTACTTATAAAATAATAAAGCTGGGATAAAAATAAATAGAATAGATCTTGAGAGTGGTGCTTTAATGAGGTACCATGATGTATGGATTTAAAATAAAATAAATGTGAGCCCATCTGCTTCAGCTATGAATTGAGGATGAGACGAAGCCAGTATCATGAGGACACAATATGTAAAAATAGTTCTGAATTCTATTCCTGCAGTCCTGGTGACGTGAGGGCAGGACCTTAGAGGTAAAGTGTATCCTTGCCTACAAATCATTCCTAATCCAATGCCTACATTCTTTTTTTGACTTTTCCTTTTTTTGGCCAAAAATCATAGAGAGTTGCTGCAAATCAGAACAACAATATTGAACTAGCTGGACCATTTTTTTTTTAGCCTGGTAATATTCTTAGCAAGTTCTCCTCCTGCGTTAGTCCAACCTTGGGATCCAACCAACCCTTTTTCTAGGAATTTTCTTAATTCTCTCCTCTAGGGCAGAATGCCTCCAGCGGGGTGTGTCGCCCTCTAAAGCACATGGCTTGGGTTCAAACCTGGTCACGGAAGTCCGCGTCTACAACTGGTTTGCAAACCGGAGGAAAGAAGAAGCTTTTCGGCAAAAACTTGCCATGGATGCCTACAGCACCGGTCAGCCTCACACCATGAACCTCTTGCTGTCCCATGGGTCGCCCCACCACGTTCAGCCCAGCTCTTCTCCGCCCAGCAAAATGCCAGGTAAGGTCACACCTAACACTTCCTGTTGGCAAAGGAGGTCAGATGTGGTCACCCTTTTACAAGTGGCAGGTTGCTGGAACACATTGCTGGTAGTCCAGTTCATTTAGCAACTGTTCAAAGTTGCCACAGCACTGAAAAAAGCAATTTGGGGCTGTTTTTCACACTTACGACCGTTGTAGAATAGAATAGAATAGAATAATGGAACAAGAATAGAATAAAATAATGGAATTAGAATAGAATAGAATAATGGAATGAGAATAGAATAGAATAGAATAGAATAGAATAGAATAGAATAGAATAGAATAGAATAGAATAGAACAGAACAGAATTCTTTATTGGCAAAGTGTGATTGGACATACAAGGAATTTGTCTTGGTACAAATGCTCTCAGTATACATAAAAGAAAACATTCGTCAAGAGTCAAGAATCATCAGGTACAACATGTAGTGATAGTCATAGGGTACAATAAGCAATCAAATCATACTAGGAAACAGTCAATAAAAAAAGATACGATACAACAAGGTTACAGTCATACAGTCATAAGTGGGAGGGGATGGGTGAAAGGAAGGAGGGAAGGATTAATAGTAATAGTAGTGCAGACTTTGTAAATAGTTGAACAGGGTTGAGGGAATTATTTGTTTAGCAGAGTGATGGCTTTCAGGAAATAACTGTCCTTGTGTCTAGTTGTTCTATGTGCAGTGCTCTACAGTGTCGTTTTGAGGGCAGAAGTTTATGTCCAGGATGTGAGGGGTCTGTAAATATGTTCACGGCCCTCTTTTTGACTCTGTGCAGTATACAGGTCCTCAATTGAAGGCAGGTGGGTAGTAATTGTTTTTTCTGCAGCCCTAATTACCCTCTGGCATCTGTGTCCGTCCCGTTGGGTTACAGAACCAAACCAGACAGTTATAGAGATGCAGATGACAGACTCAATCATTCCTCTGTAGAACTGGATCAGCAGCTCCTTGGGCAGTTTGAGCTTCCTGAGTTGGCGCAGAAAGAACATTCTTTGTCGTGCTTTTTTGATGACGTTTTTGATGACGTAGGATCCCCATGATCATGTGATCAAAATTCAGATGCTTGGCAACTGACTCATATTTATGACGGTTGTAGCATCCCGGGGTCACGCGACCTTCTCACAAGCAAAGTCAATGGGATGTGTGAAAGGCCAGATTCATATTACAACTCTGTGACTAACTGAACAACCGCAGTGATTCACTTAACAACAATGGCAAGAAACATCATCAAATGGGGGGAAACTCACTTAACAAGAACTCCCTGTACAGGTAGGCCTTAACTTACAACCACAGTGAAGCCCATAATTTCTGTTGCTAAACAAAAGACAGTTGTTAAGTGAATTTTGTCTCATTTTATGACCTTTCTTGCCATAGTTGTTAAGCAAATCACTGCAGTTGTTCAGTTAGGAACATGGTTGTTGAGCGTCTGGCTTCCCCATTGACTTTGCTTGTCAGAAGGTCACAAAAGGGGATCACAGGACCCTGGGACAGCCATACCGTCATAAATACGAGTCATGTGTCAAGCTTCCAAATTTTTGATCATGTGACCAGGGAGATGCTGCAACCCTCATAAGTGTGAAAAACGGCCATAAGTCACTTTTTTCAGTGGCATTGCAACTTTGAACGGCCACTAAATGAACTCTTGTTAAGTCGAGAACTATTTGAATATGTGGATAACCTCTGTTCAAGCTGCTAGTTATTCCTCTTGCTGATGTTCTTTTTCCGGCCTCCTAAGACTTTGTCTACCTTCTGTTTCTACTGAGATAGATGTTCACTGATTTGGAAGCTTCCTTCTCCTCTTTACTTTTTTTTACCCCTTAAAGATATTGTTGTTTTTCTTGAAAAAGGTTCTCCTTGTTGTTTTGCTGGGCTTTGGGGAAAGAGATTTTGGAATCATGGAAAACCGTTCAGGGAAGATGTCAACACAGGCTGGACCCACTATAAAAATAGCCCACAGCATGTTAGGAAGAATAAGAAATGGCATTGAAAATACGACCAACTTTGCCTGCTCAGTTAGAACAATTAATCAGGGGAACAACTTGCCTCCAGAAGTTGTGAATGTTCCCCCACTGAAAGATTTTAAGAGATTGGACAACCATTTGTCTGAAATGGTACAAGGTATTTTTGCCTGAGCAGGGGTTGGACTAGAAAACCACAAAGGTCCCTTCCAACTTATTCTATTCTATTCTATTCTATTCTATTCTATTCTATTCTATTCTA